CCCCCCTCCCGGGCCCCCCGCGGGGCCCGGGAGGGGAGGCGCCGGGGGAGGGGAGTGGGAAGGGAAGGGAGGGGGAGGGAAGGGAATGACTGGAAAGAGTGGGTAGGACAGGAAGGGACAAATGAGTTTCAGGCAGCACTCAGTCCCAGGGAATTATATTGTGGCATATCAGAGGACTCTGTGGGTGGAGACGGGGATGACAACCCTGCTCACCGTGAGGGACGGCAAGAGAGGCTTGGGGAAGACTTTGCTCTCTAGTACGTGAGGCCTGGTCTCCGGCTTGGCCTCTGTGATAATATGCTTGGGAGTGGTCCTGGGAGGTCTGGCTTCCTTGGCTTTGAGCCTAGTTCTGCAGTTTTGCCCTCCCTGTTGCCCCAAAACCTGCAAGGTGGCAAGATAGTGGATGTCAGTGGGGTTGGGTGGGAACACAGAGCTTTTCTGGGGCAGGAGGGACCAGTGCAGGCAGCACTTTTGGGACTCAGCTGACAGCAGGTGGGTCCGGGCCACAGTGTGGGGGAAAGGGAGGACGTTGGTGACCTTCGGGCGGCTGGCCAGCTCCAATTGTCTCTTTTCACCTTTCCCATCTACTGTTTTCAGTCCGTCTGCACAAGCCACACACTCGTCCTTTTCTGCCCTCGGTGCCTTCTCTTCCGGCTGCCAGAAGATATTCCTGCTTTTCTTACTCAGGACGTCCAAGTTGTGGGGGGAGCTTTTCAGTGGGGGTAGAACCACAAGAGCCTTGGATGCAAGGGAATCAGAGATGGAGAGCCCTTGGTCGGTGCTTCCGCTGGGGTTCCTGCAGGCCTTGCTGCTAACTGTCTCGGGGATACCCCACTCTTCCATGCACCAGATAAATTCCTTGATTTGCAGGCTTTTTTTTTCTCCATGCAAGTACGTGGGAAAGCAGAGTTTGTTGGGCTCTCTGGAAGCGCTGCTGGGGCCCTGGGAGGGGCCGTTCCAGGTCTTCTCAGAGCTCCAGCTCTTCTGGGAGCTCTCCTCTGCCACAGCATCCACCTCCAGTTTCCCAACCTCTGCGAGGGACCGGGGTTCCAGACTCCTTTGAGAAAGACTCATACAGAACAAGCAGTTGTTGCCGCCAGCGGTGCCTTCTCCTCCCCGGCCCCTTTTCACTTTCCTCTTGGACCAGATGCAGGCAGTTGGTGAGGTCCTTCCCCAGCCATGGACCTGCAGAGGAAGTAGTGTGTCACCCTCAGGCCAGCTGGGCCAGGCCCTGCTTCCCCCAGCTTGGCCACACTCCTATTCTGGCAGTCTTAGGTGAGCTGCATTTTTTTTTCCTTAAAATTGACTTAAACACATAGTCTCATAGTCTCTCAGTCCCTCAGTCAGTCTCAGTCTCTCAGTCAGTCTCTCTCTCTCTCTCTCTCTCTCTCTCTCTCTCTCACTCTCTCTCTCTCTCTCTCGTAGCCTAGCTGGCTGTAAACTCCCGTCTCTGCTTCTGAAACCCTAAACCTTCTAAAGTCAAAACCCTCAAGCTTTGTCATTTTAGCCTCACAGAGCAACTGTGTTACTGTGGTATAAGTCAGTCTTAGGCCCAGGCAGGAGCTGTTGTTAACTAAAACCTTGGGCAGTGGCACCTGTACCAAGCCACTGGAGGACTGACTTCAGCTCCCTATGGGCACAATTCACTTCAGCAACATGGGCCTAACGTGTCCATTCCCGACCAAGGTTTTCTTGTACTGTGAGTCAGTTTCCCGAGCACAGGACAGACTTCAGAAAGAGCAGTCCTGGGAACCCAGGACCTCTGAGTGCCCAAGGTACAGCAATGCCCACCTTCTTCTGAAGCCCCCTGGCTGAGACTACCTACTTAAAAAACAACAACAACAACAAAAACCACAGGACTACATAGGGATCACAATCTGAAATCCAACTAGGGCACCCTGTATTTTCTGTTGTCTAACCTGGAGAGCCCACATTTATCTTAGGTTTGACAAAGTTTCCTCATTACCTTAACTGTTTAATATCTGTGCATTCACACAGCCGTGCATGACCTATATGCGTGGACGAGCATGCCATGGTGTGAGCGTAAAGGTCAGAGACAATTCTGTGGAGTCAGTTCTCTCCTCCCTTCTGTAGCTGGGCACCAGGTCTCCAGGCCTTGCACTACAGATGCCTCTACATTGCTGAACCAACTTGCTGGGCTACAGTTCAACCAACTAAGTCACAAGCCCCACATTCCTTACGAAATAGTGCCAGCAAGCAGGCAGCTGCCTTATAGTTTTAAATGCTGGCTTCCACTCCCGGCTCTGAGAAACCAGAGACTTTAGATAGCCAGGGAGACGGAGCCTGTGTCTCTCTCAGGAGCTTTCTAGTCCTCTGTGCCCAGTGTCTGGCCAGTGAGCTCTAGGTGCCACATTTCACCTCTGGGTGCTCATTCCCAGCACGAGGCCTCAGGTGGCTACGGAGATGTTGACAGAACATCTACCGGTGCCCGCGAGCACACACTGTGCCCATTTCCGCTCTGTCTCAAGGCTCCTACATTCACTACAACATTTTCAGTAACATAAACTACTTTGGAAAGTCCCTGTGTGCCAGGCAGTGGTGGCGCATGCCTTTAATCCCAGCACTTGGGAGGCAGAGGCAGAGGCAGGCGGATTTCTGAGTTCCAGGCCAGCCTGGTCTACAGAGTGAGTTCCAGGACAGCCAGGGATACACAGAGAAACCCTGTCTCGAAAAACAAACAAAAAAAAAAAAAAAAGAAGAAGAAGAAGAAGAAAAGGCCCTGTAGTCAATACTGAGGTGAGAAAGACCCGAGAAGGCACTCACGGCTTCCTCCCACCCAGTGCTGATGGCAAACTCGCTGGCCCTGCCATCCTCTTCCAGTGTGAGGTCGCTGACACCAAGAAGGCAGCAGACATGGCTCCTCTCACTTCCCTCGTCTGGACAGTGTAAGGTCGGCGCCGTCTCTTCTGTATCTTCAATTTTCTTGTTTTCTTTATTTTCTAAAAAAGTCTCACTTTCCTCACAGAGATCCATTACTGGGGTGACTGCCTATGGTTTTTAACATCTTCTTCCTGCAAAGTTCAATGAAACTTGGTTTTAATATTATTTTTCAAGCAAATCAGTAGCTCAAGTGAAATATTTTAACATATTCAAGAAAGACTGAGAACATTTCAAAATTATCCATTTCTAACTGGTGACAAAAATAAGATATGGCTAATTTTAGTTAAAAACTAATGGATTTTTTTTAACATGAATGTGTGTGTGATGAGAGAAGTGGAGGGACATGCCAGGACACTTTACTGGAAGTCAGAGGACAACAGTTCTGTACTTCTGTCCTTTAATTCCCTATCCCCAACACACACACACACACACACACACACACACACACACACACACACGGGATTGTACTCAGGCTTGTGAGGAAAGTGTACTGACTTGCCAAGTCATCTGCCATCCCAAGACCAAAGGAATGAAGAAAAAGAGCATCAGCTCTCTCTGGTCACTGTTACAAAGTTCACACGGGATGTAGGGCTACAAATGGTACTAGGCTGACATCATGAGAAGAATGGGTCCACAAAGCTTACAGACTCAGGCTTCACTGGTTCCCAGAACCCTCAGAGCTGACTGGGGGTCACGAGCTTCCAAGGAAGCTGGTTAGTTACTTTCTTTCCGACACTTCCACCTGCTGGCCCCACCCACTTTGCTCCCCCAGGGTAAGCTCTACTTCCTCCAAGCAAAGCAGCGAGTGCTGGCAGAGATACGGAGAAATTATAGTGTTCTCTCTTCCAGAATAGCCCTTTCCAGCTGTGTGTGTGTGTGTGTCTGTGTGTGTGTGTGTGTCCTGAGAAGCATCTGAAGGTGTCTGTGCAGACGACAGTGAGGACCAGCAAAGGATGAAGGATGCAGTTTGGGGTGAGCCTCATGATGCAGTAGACACTGGACCCTATGATGGTTTAACAAGATGGTCCAGCAGCATTCCATGACACTGCGGCAAAGGAAGTTCAGGAGCTGTTTATAAACAACGTTTCTGTATATGTGCTTTACCCACGACCTGCACTGACTCCTTTGACGTCAGGGAAACTAGTCAAAGTTTGGTTAGATCACTGCACTGCAATTCATTATGTGTCACTTGAGAACACTGAGGTTCCTGAGGCAGAAACTAACGATCCAATAGCAAGAGAATGCGGGTGCCCTATTCCTAATTTAAAAAAAAAAAAAATCAGGACCAGTGAATGACCTGGCACATAAAACCTCTCAAAGCACAAACCTGATGACCCAAGCGCAAACCCTAGAAGCCACAGGACTTATTAAAAAAGAAACAAACAAAGAAAAGAAAAAAAAGAAAAAGAAATAAAAAAAGACAGAAAGACAGAGCTGGATCTGTAACTCCTCCCACACTCCCAGTGAATGGAAGGCACTTACAGTAGAACCTCCTAGAAGCTAGCCTAGAATACACAGCACGACAGAAACAAACAAGAAGTGGAAGGAAAAAACTAACTCCAGGAAGCTGTCTTATGATCTCCACACACAAGCCTGGGCACAGTCACGTGACGCACGTATGCTAACATACAAACACCCAACCACACTAATAATTTTTTTATTATTTTAAGCATATTGTGTGACTGTGTGTGTGTGGGGGGGGTTAATTCGCATGTGTTGTGCTGTGCCCATGGAGGCTAGAGACACTGGTGCTCCAGGAACTGGAGTTACAGGCAGTTTTGAGGTACCTGATGAGGATGCAAGGAACCAAACTTGGGTCCTCTGCAAGAGCAGGTGGTGCTTACCTTTCCAGCCTCAAAATTAAAAATGAGTGAGTCAGTCAGTTCATGGCTTCAATTTGAAGTTTTCCTACTATAAATATACCTTCAACTTCTGCTACCATTCTTTTCCTCTGACACACATTAACAGTTAACAAAACACAAGCAGCAACTAGAGCTGAGAATGAGAGCACACGTCTGTCATCCCCTCGTGTGAGGCTGAGGCGGTCAAGGCCTGTCTCAATCTTCCCCCATCACCCTCCCCGCCACCTCCACTGCCAACAATCAAAGTAAAATCACCCAAACCAGAGATGTGTGGTTTCACCTTTTTGTTTTGTTTTGGCTTTTCTTTTTTAAGATTTGTTAGTTTGTTTGTCTGTTTATTATTTAGGGGACTAGAGAGGTTCTTTGGCAGTTAAGAACATTTGCTGCTCTTGTAGAGGACCCAGGTTCACTTCTCAGCACCCATATGCCAACTGACAATTGTCTGTAACTCCAGTTCCAGAGAATCTAATTTCCTCTCTTGGCTTCTGCAGCATTGCATATATGTGGTGCACATACACACACAGGTAAACACTTATAAGATAAAAACAAATAAAATTGTATTAGGTTTATTTGTGTTATGTGTATGAGTGTTTTGCCTACATGTACATGTATATATTCCATGTATGCCTCCTGATTCAGAAACCAGAAGAGAGGGGCGGACTTATAGACAACTAAGAGCCACCATGTAGGTGCTAGGAATCAAACCTGGGTTCTCTAAAACAAATGCTCTTAACCACTGAGCCATCTCTTCAGCCACTCTAATGTGTTTCTGAGACAGAGTTGGCCTTAAACTTGGAGCAATCTTTCTGCTTCTTAAGTGCTGGGATTAAGCCAAGTACTTCAATGGCTAGCTTACGATTTCTCACAAATTATATGTAGATTTACTGTTCTGTTAGAATGCAGGAGGTCTGTATTGCTATCTTCCTTTCCTTTTTAATTTTTATGTGTATAGACGCTTTGTCAGCGTGTATGTGTACCACATGCATGTCCTGTATGCTAGGAGGCCAGAGAAGAGCACTGGATCCCCTGGACTAGAGTTTAGAGTTAGTCATTAGCTACCATGTAGGTGCTGGGTATCGAACCTGGGCCCTCTGCAAGAGCAGTCAGTGTTCTTAACTCCTTAGATATCTTTGCAGCCCATATTTTTCCTTTTTTTTTTTTTAAACTCATGTTTTTATACAAGGTCTCATGTAGCGCAGACCAGCCCTGAACTCATTATGTAGTGAATTCCTGATCCTCCTGCCTCTGCCTCCTGAGTGCCACAGAAAACCCAGGCCTTCAAGCCCACAAGCCTACGGCTTCAAAATTCAACTATATGTGTCTGTCAGCTCATGTGAAAGTGCGCACACAGTGTGCACATCAGGTGCCCTGCTCTCTTTCTCACCTGCCTTACCCCCTTGAGACAGTTTCTCAGTGAGCTTGAAGCTTACCATTTTCAGGTTAGGCTGCCTGCCCAACAAGCCCAAACATTTCTTCTAGAATGGGCTTAAAAAGATGGCTCCGTCATACAGTGCTTGCCACACAAGCAAAGAAAACAAGAGTTCAGATCTCCAGTAACCACATAAAAAGCCAACTTCTATGATGAATACCTTTAACTCCAGCGCTGGGAAGCAGAGACAGGAGGATTCTTAGGGCTTGCCGGCTAGCCGGTCTGGCCAAAATCAGAGAACTCTGGGTTGAGTGAGAGAACGTGTCTCAAAAAAAATAAAATAAAATAAAATAATAAGGTGGGTGAGGGCTGGAGAAATGGCTCAGCAGTTAAAAGCATTTGCTACTCTTGCAAAAGACCCAGGTTCGGTTCCTGGCACCCACATGGCAACTTACAACAGCCAGTAACTCGACTTGCAAGGTAGGGCGTGTGCCATTTCTATTCCAACCACTTCCGATTCTTGCCCTTTTTCATTTTTGCCTAGGGTCTAGATTTTTGTCTTTAACAGGGTCGCATTTTTGCCCTTTTCCCGGCTCTCTGAATTCACCAACTGTCTAGTCCTAAAGGATGGCCTTCCGAGGGCTCCCAAGGCTCACAGCAGACAGAATCCGGCCGCCCAGACCTTCCCGTCTGGTAGTAGTCCCTGAACACTCCTTCAAGCCGCTGGCTCCTGTCCTTCCTCTCAGCGGCTCCTACCCTGCTACAAGCTGAGTTTTTACCCTTCCTTCGGCAGGTCCCCGAGGGCTGCACCAAGCTCCTCCCATTGAAACCTCGACCACGCCCCCACGGATCACGCCTATCAAACGGCTCCTCCCCGAAGCCCACGCGGCTCCCCAGGCCCCGCCCAATCCAGGTTCTCCCAGAGCCATACCCCCGTCTCCGTCTTGCTTACCCGCCCTGAAGGTTGCTTCCTTCCGCGGCTCTGCCGCCCGTGAAGTGTCTAGGGAGTGTTCCCCGGGGTGAGGTCGTGGCCACAGCCACTTAGACGCTCCTACGGGGCCGCCAGGCAAGGAAGGTCCGGAGCGGCTAGTCGCGGCCCGCTAGAGCCGGACTGTTGCCCTAGGTTACGGCCGCGTCGGAGGCGAGCCTAGGTGCAGGCATGACGGAAGTGACGTAACGCCGCAACAAAACAAACTCAAGGGAGGAGGCTTCGGAGGGCGGGGCTTAGGGGCGTTCCCGTCGCGCCGTGCGCGGTTGCTAGCTGCCTCCTGCGGCCCCGTAGGGTGGTTTCAGGCGGCTGGCCCGCGGCGCCTGCGCGCTGGTCCCATGTGCTGCCAGACTCTTCGAGGGCTTCGCACCGTCGACGTTGGGCCACCTAGTTGTGCTGGGAATGGCCTTTTCGTCTTCTAGAAGGAACGCCTCAGATGCCAGGCGAACCGCGTCTGTAGATTTGGCCACTTCTTCCTTTGGGCAGAATCGTCCTTTCCTTCTTGAGATCCCGTGTGCTTAGTGGAACGCAGGCAGAGAACTTCGTGGGCGGACTCATTCCTGGTTTGTATGTTTTTGAGACAGGGTGTTCCTTGTTTTGTAGCCTGGTGTGGCCTCGAACTCATGGCAACCCTCCTTCCTCAGTGTCCTAAATCAACACTGAGGGGATTGAGGGTGTGGGCTTCCACGCCTGCTGATATGAAGGATTTCTTGTTTTGTTCTTCTTGGTGCTGCCCACTTTACTGGGGCACAAGCAGTAGTTTCTCTCAAGGGGGCCCCCACTTCTCCACCATGCTGCCCTTGGTGCCTTTGAGCACTGAAAAACACACCCCAGGCTGGGAACCTATGCTTGAAGTAGGCATAGGTAAATAGGCATTGAGAGGTAAATCTAGCGTCCCAACTCATGTCTCGTTCCAAGGCCCCTCTGCTTTCTGGTTTAAAAAGCAGTCTCCAAAAGCAAGGTGAGTCAAAGGCATTTGGAAAAATAGCTAAGAATGACTACTTTTTACATTTACTTTTTTCATTTATAGCACTATATATAATATATATATATATATATACAGTAGAGCACATATACAATTTATAGCATGTATGTGACACATTATGAAGTTGGAACGAAGTCCTCTTCTGACTATGAATATTTGTTAAGATATTTCCCCCATACCTATATGCATACATACATATATACATATAGGTATGGGGGAAATAATTTAACAAACATATATGATACATATGGTAATATATATTGCTATCCTAGTGTATTTCGTAACATAGAAGGGTATGACAGACATTGCTAAAATTTTATATGTATTTTTAGATTTATGTGTATGAGTGTTCTCCCTGTATATATGTATGTACACCCTTTGTGCTGGCCAGTAATAAAGGCACACCCTTTTGTTGTTTTCTAGGTTCATATGCTAGACAGGGACTCTATCGCCAAAATGTGTCTCCATTCCTCAGTGTTTTGAGGTAGGGTTTCACTATGCTGTCTGGTCTGGCCTCCAAGTTAACGTCTTCCCTGTCTCTGAGTGCTAGAATTACAAGCATGTGCCACCAGACCTGGTCACTCAACCATAATCTTTACAACCAAAGGTAGGCAAAAGTCTTTTAAACAGCCACAGAGAAGTTCAGAAATGGGAGGGGGGGTGTCAGATTTTCCAGTCTGCTGAGGCAGAGTCAGCTGTTCTTAAGCACTGGACTTTTTCATACCTGACACTGTGTGGAGAGCCCTCTAGTGGTTCTACTAAGTAAGACACAACATAACCTCAGAACTACCTTCAAGGTGGCTTTTATTTGGTTTTGTGGAGTTTTGTCAGTTTTAAGTTTTAATGCCTTCTGAACAATCTATCTTTTTTAAATTCTAATTTTTTTAAGTGTATTGGTATTTTGACTGTATGTCGGTGCACCACTTCCATGCCTGGTGCCCAGGGAGGTTAAAAGAGGGATGAGATACTTCGGAACTGGTGTTACAGGCATTCATAAGCAGCCATGTAGATTCTGGGAATTGAACCCAGGTCTTTTGGAAGAGCAGCCAGAGCTTTTAACCACAAAACCATCTCTCCAACCCCCCTACTATATTTCTGAGGTTTTAATTCTTTGAAAACATTCAAAGATGTTATGAAAAGACAAAGACTAAATAAAGCAAAATAATAATAAAAGGCAAAGGAAGAAAGTATTCGTCCAAAGCTTAAAATCTGGCCAGGTGTGGTGGTGCATGCCTTTAATCCAGCCCTTGGAAGATGAAAGCAGGAAAATATGGAGTCAAGATGGTCCTTGGCTACACTTTCCAGCTCAGCCTGGGCTACATGAGAGCCAGGGTAAAACAATTAAGTGTAGAATTACATGCTGTAGTCAGAAGAAATATGCTAGAGTATTCTACCTACTTTCCTTGGCAGGGTGGGGGAATTCACCCATGGTTTTGTCTTGGTAGTGATGGAATTTGTCTGTGTTCATATTTGAGCTTGTCTGAGCCCAGGCTGGCCTTGGAATCTATCGCTAAAAGATGACCTCGGACCTTGAACTCCTGATCCCCAACCTTCCAAGCTTGTTACATATATCTATCTGTGTGCATATAATCCCCCCACGCCATTCCCAGTCAGCACTTTTATAGTTATTAGAGAATGTGCCATATCAGCTTTCTGAAATTCCATTTGGCAGTAAGTACATTTGAATTGGAAAGACACATTTTTGAGCCAGTGTCAGAAAGTTCGAGTGTCTATGGCTATTAAATGAAAACCTGAACACAATGTAAGTTCAGACACACCGTGCACACTGACACACCATGTACACTGCTGACCAGTTGTCACCTGTTCCCTTCTCTAACCTAGCAATGATGAGATGATTTCATTCTATTATTGAAAGGCAAAGAGTGAATGTGGTTTCCCATTATTGGAAGTTCTATAAACCACAGGGTCAGTGCACACTGAGAACAATGGGTAAACCTCGACCTGAGCATGTGCACCTTATGTGTGTGTGTGTCAGAAGGCATCAATCAGATCCCCTGGAACTGGAGTTAGAGATGGTTGTGAGCTATCATATGGGTGCTGGGAACTGAACCCCCAGGTTGTCTTCAAGAGAAGCAGGAACAGCAAGTCCTCCTAACCACTGACCCCTCTAGCCCCCGGCCTAATTATTTTTCTTTAATAGTTTCACATGATTAGGCAGAGTACACCTCAGTGGTATTCATAGCGCCAGACACAGGAACTTCCTATAATTAAAATTAACCTTTTTAAAGCTAGCAGTCACTAAGTGAAACATTAATATACAAATAAAAACCATGATGAACAAACAGGATGAATGTTTTATTTGTTTCTCATGGTGTTGCAAAGCCAGTGCTTCCCGGTGGGAAAACAGCCGCCAACACAGCACATGGTGAAACCAAGACAGTACTCTCCTGCATCTGTCCCTGTACAGCACTTCCTGCATTCCCGGGCATTTCCAGTGAGAAGACACCAAGTCTCTGACCAAATCCGGTGGTGGATATAGGCAAGTTACAAAATTATGTAAGATACACCACTGTTATCCTGAATTATGAAATTATGAGTAGGGTCACACCATGTAGTGGTGGCTGGTCTGAACCTGTTATGTAGACCGACTTGAACATCTGCCTGTCGAGTGCTGGGATTAAGCAGTGGTCCATCACCAAAACCAGCCTCATAACAACTTTTTACCGCAGATGATCTTACGAATTCTAAACACCAGAACTTAACCCCTAGTCTAAATACTTAGTATGGTGATTATCAAAAATCTGTACAGTGTGTTTATCTGCATCCATGAGGAAGATGGGGGTGGGTCTTTAGCACTGTCGAGACCAGTGTCTTTCCATCAGTATCACTAAAAGTTATCTCAAGTCCTCTATTCTCCACTAGTTTAAGACAAGCATGGAGCAGGTCCCATCCCAGTTTTATCTGGAGGTGGAGGTGTGCCACGGTCACTCCTCAATGGACTTCACGTATTTCTCATATGCTTCTTCACTCATTAGTTCATCCAGCTCAGAAGGGTCACTCAGTGTCATCTTGATCAGCCAACCTGTACCCAAAACAAAACCTCAGTTCAGACTGCCTTTTTGAAATCAAATTCGTTCAAAATGTAAAATTTTAAGTCCTTCAAATTAATACAGTGTCCTCATTTAAATGATGTGAATACTCTAACATACATCCATTCTTTCTCCACTAAATGTAGCCCTATGACATCTGTGGGCTGGAATAAGACGGAGTAAGATGTCTTCAAAACAGGGTTTCTCTGTTTAACAGTCCTACTGTCCTGGAACTCACTTTGTAAACCAGGCTGGCCTTGAACTCAGACGTATGCATGCCTCTGTCTCCTGCGGAGGGGGAGTGGGATTAAAGGTGTGCACCACCATGCCTGGCTCAAATATCTTTTTTTTTTTTTTTTTTTTTTTGGTTTTTTGAGACAGGGTTTCTCTGAGTAGCCCTGGCTGTCCTGGAACTCACTCTTGTAGACCAGGCTAGCCTTGAACTCTCGAACTCAGAAATCCACCTGCCTCTGCCTCCCAAGTGCTGGGATTAAAGGCGTGTGCCACCACCGTCCGGCTCAAATAACTTTTTTAATTAAAATATTTTAAAATAAAACCTAGGGGCAGGCCGGGCGGTGGTGGTGCACGCCTTTAATCCCAGCACTTGGGAGGCAGAGGCAGGCGGATTTCTGAGTTCGAGGCCAGCCTGGTCTACAGAGTGAGTTCCAGGACAGCCAGGGCTACACAGAAAAACCCTGTCTCGAAAAAACAAAAACAAAAACAAACAAACAAAAACCCTAGGGGCCAGAGTGATGATGGCTAGGCAGTTAAGAGCACCTGCACACACATTTTTTTTTAAAGGCATACCAGATATTAACTCTCAGAGCTAATGGCAGTAGGAAGACTGAAAGCCAGCCATGGTGGTAGATGCCTTTAATTCCAGCACTTAGGAGGCAGAAGCAGGAGGATCTCTGTGAGTTTAAGACCAGCAAGAGCCATGTAGAGACCCTGTCTTAAGCCATCGAACCCCAAAGAGAGAAAGTGTGAAGGGCAAGACAGCAAGCCAAGAGAACCACAACCAAATCTTAATATTGCCACTTATTGGCTATATG